TTTTTTTTTTTGAACAAAAGACGGGTCCAGAAGGACCCTGATGCTGCATTAACACTGAACATGAAGTACACAGCATTTTACAGACGGACCCAGAACTAACTGCAAATAACACACTGGTCCCTGTCTTTTACAAAGAGGACCCCAACAACCAGATAAGAAAAGCAATCGGGTCCTTGACATCTTCTGCACGGCCGTAACTTCGCCGTCGCCGGGGACATTGCCACTTGGGACAACTAAGCTTCCATGGCACCACGCCATAGACTCCGTGCAGAAGATGAGCTGCCTCCCTTTAGGCATCTTGGCCGGGAGGAAGAAGTAGAAAGGCCGCCCTTCGGCCAGCATGTACGATGACGTGATGGAGCCGGCCGGCCGCCGAACGCCGTAGCTGGCGCCAAGGCCACTCCCAAACAGCCACCGGATAAGAGCACTGACCCGATCTGGTTCTCCATCTCTTCTACTCTTCGTCTTCACCACCACGGCGACGCCACGAGCTAGAGAAATATCGGAGAGCCTCCAGAACAGGGGACCAGACGAGCTTATTGGTGGATGAGCCAGCAGCACGCCCCTCGGCAGCGACTGGCCGCCAGCCAGCCTTGCCTGAGACGCAGCCACCGTGAGCCACCAGCCGCTGCTCGTACGCGGCGGCGGCGCTCTCCACATCGGCATACAGCCATACGCCACATGGGCACTACTCGACCTCAACCTATACCTAGACTCTATATACATAGGACAACGCCATGCACCTCTCCCGTCTCCGCTCCGGCCGGCGTCGCCGTCTGAGAAGATAAGGGATCGGGCCGGGAGCGGTTGAGCTCCGGCTGCTGAAAGAAGAGCGTATTGCCCTCACGGCAGAATGTGGCCCTGTCCAACAACATGTTGCCGCTTCCGCGGTCAGGGAAGGTGAGAGCATGACGGAGCCCACGACTAGAAGAGGTGAGCTTGTACATTGAGTACAAGATAGACGTGCACAATAAGCATATACACACAACATCACCAACATAGGTCACACACTTGAACAATGTCTACACAAGATAAAAAACACAGAGCTTTGTATTCCTTTTGTTTTTATTTACTCCGCATATTAGAGTTGCTGAAGTCAAACTTTCTATAGTTTTATAGAACAGAATATAAATATTTATCATAAGAAATCTATATGATGCGCAAGTACATTCAATAATGAATCTATTGTTACTGTACATGTTAATATTTTTGTCTATAAACTTTGTCAAAGTTTACGAAGCTTGACTTTGATCAAAGCTAATACGCAGAGTAAATAAAGACGGAGGGAGTAATGACAAAGTCATCGCAGAAGCTCAATACAGCGCGCGTGTTTGTTTCAAATGAAACCAAATCAGAGAACGACACGTGCACTACCGAATCTACACGATCAGTATGCAAGTACGTCCGCGCAGCTGCCCAAGCCAATTAAGATTGAGCATATCCTCCTGCTCGACGAAACAATTCACGCTACACTGGATCGGCCCGGCAGATTAATAATTAAGCTAGCGGCTGCTTCCTTGCACGAGTCCGGGCGAGCAGCCACATAAAATAAGCAATGATCGGCCGGCGAGCCCAATCACCACTCGGTGTTCACAGATACACAGCTCGCGTGGCAACCGTGTCATGCATGTGCGCGCCCTTTGCTTGCGCCCATGGACTGGACTGCTCCTGCCAATTATTGCAGCTAGCGCGCGCCGTTCACTTGCACGTAAAGTACGCACGCACGTACGGCCGGGTCATTGTTGTTTACTTGATCAGGCAATTAGCTACGTACCTTTTATCTACGTACGCAGGCACGCACGCACGTACGGCCGGAGTACGTAGTACGTGTAGTGTTACTGTTACCGGCCAGCCGTGAGGAGGGTAGTAGCATGCGTGGGACTAGTTAACACCGGGTGCGGGCGGTAGTGGTTACGATCGTACAGATTCTTGCCGAAAAGAGGCCAGGCACCGGCAGATGGCGTGTAGATTTACAACCCATGCAACTCCGTGTAATGTAAACGTCCCGGGGATACACCGTGATCTGTCATCTGTGTGCTCTCAGCCTCAGCCCCCATCGATCCGGCCAACCATCGACCTCCCACGGCACTCGGCATATAATCACTACTCCGATCGAGTAGTGTGTTTCTCCAGGGAAGTGGG